GTTCCTTCCTAGCGGCATTAGGGTACTTTCAATGCTTGGTACAAGCACAAATTTTGTGTTTGATAGTGAGGTGACATATTCTCATCCACTTATTCCAATTCTCAACCACTCCTCAACTTATGTGAATGTGGGTCCTGATTTTAATGAGTGGAGGGGAACATGTCACCTCACTACCAAGCATAAAAACTTGTGCTTGGTACCACGCATACCAATTTCTCTCTCTCTCTCTCTCTCTCTCTCTCTATATATATACCTGATTTTAATGAGTGGAGGGGAATATGTCACCTCACTACCAAGCATAAAAACTTGTGCTTGGTACCACACATACCCATTTTTCTTTGTGTGCGTGTGTGTATATATATATAGAGCAAAACTTGTGTCAACTTAAGAGGATAGCAAGAAGTTATCCACCAAACTTTTTAGCCACTAAAACCTAGGGATCCTTGCATGATATGAAAAAGTTTTTTATATCAATAAATAAGTGGATAGGAAGTTTGGTGGACATCAACTTAAGTTGATAGGAGTCTTACTCTCTCTCTCTTTATATATATATATATATATATATATATATATATATATCTATATATATTATGCGATTCGGATTCCGAAAATGAATTATCCATTAGCGAACTCGCATGCGCATATGATAGGTTAACGCATGCCTACAAGAAATTACAAAATGATTTTGTTGATTTAAAAAGCAAGCATGTTAATTTGAAATCCGATCATGAGTTGTTGATTTCTAAGTTTGATAATGTTTCTAATGAGAATGTGATCCTCAAAGAAAAGAATGATAAATTAAAATCGGATCATGATTCATTGCTTTCAAACTTTGCTATTTTAACTCATGAAAAAGAAAATGCCATGCTAGAAGTAGAGACTATTAGAAGTAAATTTACATCATTTAAAAATGATCATATTTGCTCTACTTCTATTGACAATGCTTCTATGCCTAATGATGAGTTGAACAATATTAAAAATCGCATTTCATCTTTAGATTCAACTCTTAACACATGCATTGTTAATAACAAGAAACTTATGGACTTATGTGCAAAGTCTCGTGCTAACTCTTCAAAACCAAGCACTCACTATGCACATATGTATAACAAAGTTTACAAATGCTCTATTTGCGGCCGAAAAGGCTATTTAGCTAAATTTTGCTATGATGCACATAAACCAACAAAGACTAATGTTTCTTTTGCATCATAAATCCTCCAAGACTAACGTTTCTTGTGCATCTCATAAGGTTTCTTCATCACATACACATGCACATATTCATCATGTTCATCATAAGCATGCTCATGTGTTTAAATGTGATTTTTGTGGTCGATTTGGTCATTTGGCCAAATTTTGTTTTGATGTAAAGAGAGTTTCACATTTGCAAAATAATTTTAAAAGATCATCCATGTTTGCAAATGTTTCTAATGTTTTCTGTGCACAACCATTTGGTCAACGCAAATTATTTCAACCTTTTCATTGCACAAATTGCAATCGTAAAGGTCACTTATATAATTTTTGTTTTGACCACTTTCGTGCACCACATGCGCCCAAACGGGTTCATAACCCTAGGGCTTTGAGCTTGAATGATAGGGGACATGTCCCTAAATCTTTTGGTACCAAGAATACTTGGGTACCAAAACAAATTTGATTTTAAACCAAGAATTTTAGTGTTTTAATTTTCTTTTTCTTGGTTTTGAAAAATGTATTTTAAACTTTTATGAAAACAATTCCTTTTATTGGTCAAATTCTTTTGTTTACATAATTCCTAGCTTTGATTTTGATAAGAGGTTTGTATTTATATAACCCTCCGGATTTATTGGGTGTTTATTCCCAAATCATGTTTACCGGATGCTAAAATGTTCATATGGGTTAATACTAGCTCAAGAGCTAGATAGGTTTATATAACCTCCCGGGTTTATTGGGTGTTTATTCCCAAATTATATTTACCGGGTGCAAAATGTTTATATGGGTTAATACTAGCTCAAGAGCTAGATATAGTTGCCTCTCTTGATTTTTGAAAATCAATGATGATTTG